AATTCCTCTTTAAATTAAGGTTTCCTGTCGCCATTGAGAGGGCAAGCGAGGTGGGAGGGAGACTGAGAATTCTGGGAAATGTAGTTTGGGAAGACAAGGACCCCTCTGGCAAGGAATTCAAAAGGCCCTGCCCTGAACTGCATTTCATAAATTCTGCTCCCATCAGAAAACCCCAGTGAGGTAGGGGAGAGCTATTATCCCTCTGTAGCAGCAGCCAGGGTTCCAATAAATTATTGAATCTGCAAAGAGGACTGATAGTAACTCTATGCTGGACTGGGAAGAAAATCCCTAAATTGAAGTTCTATGGTATGTGTTGTGTGTGTCATATAGAGAGTGAGATTCAAGGGGACAGCTGTTGTGGCTTTAAAAAAAAACCAAAAGGTTTTATCAAAAAATTTAAAATTCCCCAAAAATCAGTAGATGTGCGAATCTTTCTGAGTATTGAGGAAAATGATGCCCTGGTTATATTGTGTCCTGTGGGGTTTTTTTAAAATGTTGTTTGTAAACATTTTTTAAAAATCTCCCAAAATTCGTGGCTGAGTGAAGCATTCTGAAACTAGGGTGGAAGGTAACAGTGGTAAATGTGTTCTATAATTGAAGCAAATTTCATGCCGATAGCTCTAACAACAAGGGAGAAAGAAGTCCCTGAATTTTCCCCACTGGTACAATTACTTTACAAAAAAGTAATGAAAAAAATCATTATATGGGCCCCTTACAATATTTTAGAAACACTTTAGAAATGATTTGCTCCCCCCTCCCCCCCCCCCCCCCAATTTAGTAAGGAGCAACTTTTTTTCATTGACCACACAGGCTAGATAATCATGTTTTGGTTTCATAAGCAGCAGTATTTTTTAAAAATGAGTTTATAATGCTCATCCATATCCTAGAAATGTTTTTGCTGTCTCTTCACTACTTCTTTCTTTTTGGAAGGTGCACTTGGAGATTGCAAGAGGCTGCTTATTTTGGATGTTACCTTCCATTGGGGTGCTGCCTTTTTTTGGTTTTTTTTTGAAGTGCACAGCGTACTACATTTTAGAAAGTCAATCAAATATTTTCTTATTTTTCAGGACATTTGGGAGCTATAGGGTTGGTTGGGTTGCTTTATTGTCAAATGTCACCTGCTGTTTGATCAGTAAAGACATCTAATATTTCTGATTGCCTCTAAGTGTCTAATTTTAATATCTTGCTTAATGTAGTAGATTAGCCATTTCATGCTTTGCATGTTTTTGCTTGGTGTTTCCATTGATGTCAGTAGGAGGTACTGCCTCGTAAACAGAACTAGGATTGAATTTTTCCAAGTGATAATTGATTTAATTAAGTAATTAAGTAAATAAAATTAAATTAAATTGTGTCTGAATTTTGAAACGTATTTTTAAATGTTCATAGTAAATCTCCAGTTGGAAAGCTTCATCTCAAATAATTTACAAATGTGCTCACTTATGTTTTACAGAATGAACATAGATGGCAAAGATTTTTATTTCAAAATTATCTTTATTTATACACATATGTATGCATGAAAAAAATCAGGATTTTATTAATTGGGTTTTTTTTCCGTGTCAGGAGCGACTTGAGAAACTACAAGTCACTTCTGGTGTGACAGAATTGGCTGTCTGCAAAGACATTGCCTGGGGATGCCTAGATGTTTGATGTTTTACCATCCTTGTGGGAGGCTTCTCTCATGTCCGCTCTCTCCAGATTTGAACCGCTGTCCGATTGATCAGCAGTCCTGCCGGCACAAGGGTTTAACTCGTTGTGCCACTGGGGGCTCCTTTATTAATTGGTTGAAACTTATACATTTAATGTGCAAATGTTTGGCCATGTTTCCTGGCACTAAGTTACATTGAATTCATTGGGATTTAATTTTGAGTATTCAAGTACAGGGCTATTGAGTAATAAGTCTTTAACTAGATATCAATTTTGGAACATTGTTGGGTTTTTATTTTTCAGTTGGAACAAATAATGAGAGAATATGAAGTCAGACAGACTAACAGAGATGGTAGACAAAAAGAAAGAAAAGATTTATTTAGCATTGAAAAGAATGAGATTTTCCTTCTTCTTGGCTGGGGGTTGGACTGGATGGCCCACGAGGTCTCTTCCAACTCTATGATTCTATGAAGAATCATTTATTTTTAGTTTTGAATCAAACAACTATCTATTAATGGGAAGAACCAGGCAGTGATAGCTCTTGGCTCTCATATCAATGGGGAAGTGATTCCATTTGGAGTTTTACTATGAATTCTAAAAAAAAAAAATAATCATGCAACTCTGACCTCAAAAGAGGTTCAACACCTAGGAAATTGGAAAATGCTATCCTAGGTCCCAAAATGTTTTGACCATCTGCAGCTTGTGAATTGTTTCCTATTCCCAGGTTTAGATTGATCCCGTCTAAATATCTTTCTTAAATTGTTTGGCTTATGGAGAATCTATGGTCACTATTTGCTCAGTTCCATTTATAACTACCACTAGGAAATAATTTGTACCACGTTAAGGCCTGTTTGTGTAAAGCCTTATGCATAGTGTAGCTGTGGCTGCAAGAATTCCTTCCATTCACTTTAGGAAAGAATAGAAAGGTAGGATATCACTATTCCTCCCACTAAACCTTACCCTGTGCCTTCCACTGTAAATTCGATTCATTTGCTGACTGGGAGAAAGCACCCGTTCACTTGCCCTTTGCTCTGTTTGGTGTTTTCTTGCAAAGCCACTAGACAAAAGGCACTATGGGTGCTGGCTGCAAAGCCAGGAGAGCAATGATACTCTTGAGCAACACTGAAGGCTCATTGTCCCTCGCTGCCCTGTGCATGATTAAATAACCAAGATCTGTCACAGCGATAAAGTAAAGCAAAGTGGTTATGTATGAAAGAGGACTTCCTCCCTAAGAGACTGTGTAACTGGCAGTGACAGCCAGGACTTAAAGTAAAAAAAATCAGATTGGAATTCTGTGGGGCTACTTGTTTGGTATCATTGCTTAGAGGCTGGCCATTGCTTGCACACTTACACCACACCGGAGCTCTGTACATTTGCCTTTCAAAGCATGCAAGCAAAAAGACACCACTTGTGTGCAGCTGGCAAAAGCTGATCTAGCAATGGAATCAGTCAGCAGAAGTATATCCCTGCTGCTAAACTATAGCAGTTTGATACTACTTTAACACTATTATGACTTCATCACACGGGACTTTTTCCCCATCCTAGGAGCTGCTGAGACGCAGTCGGGACAGAGTCCCCCGGAGCCCATCACATGATGCAGGGTTACTTCCAATGCGGCTCCATCTTGGCAGTGTGGTCAGAGGCAGCCAGGGACAGTGTGGGAGGAAGCTGAGCATAGCCAGAAAATGTCATATGAACAGAAGGGGATGAAGCAATGCACTGTCCCATGGTTTCCCTGACTGCCCCACAGATTCCCCCGCTGTCCCCCAGCTTATGGACCTCTGTCTGATGACATCCTTATTCTCTCCTATAGGATCCTGGAATTTGTTGTTTGACATCTTTGGGTCCCACTCTGGAAGAAAGGAAAATACAAATTCAATAAATTACAATTCTTTAGTGCCGTCCCCAGAGCTACAGCAATAGAGGTCTTTAGTAGAGAAATCTAAATCCTACACAAACTACAAATCACTGGATTTCACTGTACTGAAACACAACTCTTAAAGTGATATTGAAGTATCATAACTAAATAGCATTGTTGCATACATGATCTTTTTGAAGATATGATAAGACCAGATATTTGGGGCCAGAACCCCCAGAATCAATTCTGAGTAGGGGATACTGGGATCTATCATCCAAAAAGTAATAGTTCCAAGCTGTGCCCTGTAAATTGTATTAATTGAGAAGGTACAATTACCTGTGTCTTCCTGTTGACTCAGCCTTGTTTATCAAAGCTGAATTTGCTTGTGTGCAGTGTATAAATGTCAAGTTTTGTGCAGGTGTGTGTGTGTGTGTGTGTGTGAGAGAGAGAGAGAGAGAGAGAGAGAGAAAGTGGGGGGGGGGGAGAGAAAGAGAATTATAGAGCTGGAAGAGACCACAAGGGCCATCCAGTCCAACCCTCTGCTACACATGTAAACATAGTCAAAGCACTCCCAACATCCAGCCTCTGCTTAAAAACCTCCAGAGAAGGAAACTCCACCACACTCTGAGGCAGCATATTTCACTGCCAAACAGCTGTTACTATCAGGAAATATGTGTGTGTATGCATGTGTGTTGCTAAACTCATGTGTTCTAAAGATGTCACTATATCTCATGTGCTCATCAAATTGTGGTGCTTGGTTCAAAATGTAGAATGCTACTTTTGAAAGTAAAATAGCTATATATACTTAGTGTTGGAATTACTATTTTGAAAAGCAACGGTTGTTCTTATTCAAAAAGTAACTAGATTTGTATTTATTTATCAGTACAATATAAGCTACAGTATTAAAATAGTGCAAGCTGCTGGCACCCGATATTGTACAACTAAGTTGTGAGGCCATAGACCTTTTGTAACTATAAATGTAACCAAAGCAGTTGCAGTGAAGTAGGGGTACAAAGTTACCTCGGGTTAGAGTAAAGTCAAAATGTATGTAGTAGGTTATCCCTTAAGTTTTGCAAAAAGGAATTAATTACAATTAATTAAGTCATTATTTGTCTATTAGGAGTCCTCTCAGCTATTTATGTGCTTGTTTGAAGGACAGCTTTTCCTCCCAAGATGTTTGTGCTCTCCACAGAGCACCCTTGAACACTCAAACACACAGCCAAACAGAAAAAGCAATTCAGACACCAGAATTAGTTTCCAGACAATATGCAGCTAGAGAGCGGAAATTACAGACCTCACTAACTTGAGCAATTTTCTTGATATTTATCTGAGTGAAAATACTGGTTTAAGCAGCAAGTCAGGATTTTTTTTTTACATAAACCCAAAGTGTTTTGCCCATTATCTTGGAGGAAATGTAATGAGGTTCACTATTCTATGTTTAAAACAGCATTTGGATGTGGCTGTTCCTTATTGCTTATTTGTCTCTCTTTTGATTTAGGTGAAGTGAATGGCATCTACTATGGGGACAATCACTTTGACTCAGATTCTGGAACAGCGACATTGAAGGCACGACCAAGAGTCCGACCTTTGCTTACCTTTTTACCCCTTGTGAGTATTTGCTTTATGGCCTAGATTTCATTTGCATGATATATACGGAATGCTGTGTTGTGTGCCTTCAAGTCATTTCTGACTTATGGTGACCCTAAGGAGACCAATCATCATTTTTCTTGGCAAGATTTGTTCTGAAGGTGTTTGCCTTTACCTTCCTCTAAGTACGCCTATGGCTCCACCCCCAACTGGGGTAAAAGCATTGCCAGAACATTTCCCAAACAACACAGGAGACTTCCTGTGTTGTTCTGGTTCCAATGGAACCAGCATGGGACCTCTCCACGACGGTGACACTTTCCCATGTGATGAGGAAAGTGTTGCGAGAGGGAGCTGTACAGAGGGTGAGAGAGTCACCTTGCTTCTCCCTCTTTCCTCGCCAGAAGCCAGGCAAAGTAGGCCGCTTCGCTTTGCCTTTATGATAGGTAAAGGTAGGTTAAGTCTAGTCATGTCGGACTCTGGGGTGTGGTGCTCATCTCCATTTCTAAGCCGAAGAGCCAGTGTTGTCCGTAGACACCTCTAAGGTCATGTGGCCGGCATGACTGCATGGAGCACCATTACCTTCCCCCGGAGGTACCTATTGATCTACTCACATTTGCATGTTTTCGAACTGCTAGGTTGGCAGAAGCTAGGGCTGACAGCGGAAGCTCACGCCGCTCCCCGGAATCGAACCTGACCTTTCGATCAACAAGCTCAGCAGCTCAGTGTTTTAACCGACTACGCCACCAGGGGCTCCTTTATGATAAGGTGGTAGGAAAGATAAGTTTCATTTCTTTTTCTAGAACACACTACCCACCCCCCTTTTTCTGGTTTCTCTCTTGGGGTAGCTGTATCAACAAACATGAATAATCAAATCTGTAAAAGTCAAAACCACAAATGTGGAAGGATGACTGTACAGTGTTTGTCACGGTTGTATCTGAAGTTCATTTATCTCAGTAGGAGGATAAACAGAAGTCGGAATGCCATTAGTGTTTCCAACTCAAGTAGATACTCAACATAAGTATAAACTCAACACTTAACATGGATCTGTTTTCATTGCAACTACCTGTAAAATTCAAGATAATTCCTCACTTGCACTGCAAGTAATTTCCATCTCACTCATTTTGTGCTCTTTGTTGTAGTTGACCTAAGAGTGGTTCTCAACCTGTGGGTTCCCAGATGTTTTGGCCTGCAACTCCCAGAAACCCTAACAGCTGGTAAATTGGCTGGGGATCCACAGGTTGAGAACCACTGTCCTAATAGATAGTGCCATGTAGCTATATCTTGCAAATGAACAATCTTATATGTGAGATGTGGATGCTTCTGGCATTACATCCTTATTTGAAGCTAGCCTGACTAGAATTTGTATTAAAATATATTGTATTAAATAAACAACATTGTCCTTTAACAAAATGAATGCAATTGTTTCTATTTATGCAGCTGTTTTCTCATCTCCTCCTAACACAGAATCTAGATATCTATGTTAGATTACTGCAGTGTGTTGTGCATCGCCTCCAACTGTCTCAACAACCTCGATTAATTTTCTTCTTCCCCATGTTTTCAGCTCCTTTCAAAATGTCCTAGTTTCTCTCTCCTTCTTCCACTTTCCTTTTTTCCCTCAATTTACTTTAATTGATGCAAATTGGAATCAAAGTACAACAGTAGTTTGCACTCAGTTAGCAGAAGAGGGGAAACGGCAGAATCTTGGCCTTCCCTGTAGACTCAGGCAAAAGCAACTCTGATGTCTTGTTCTTTTTTCCTCAATAATAATTTCTGACATCTTAATCAGAGTTACTTGGTTAGATATATCATAGTTTTCATTTGTATGCTTGTAGATAGAGCAAACTTTGAAATTGTTTTGGATCTTCATTCAGATAGGGAACTTATATAATCATACTATTGGGAAGACCACAAGGGGATGTCCAGCCTAACCCTCGCCAGGCAGGATCACACAGTCCATAGAAGACCTGCACTGCCTACCAGTCTATTTCTTTGCACAATTCTGTAGTATTATTTTTGACCTTTTAAAAGTCTGTAAGTGACCTGGTTTAAAACTCAAATATCTTGAGGATTATCCATTCTTTGAAGCTATTGTGCAAGCTTCTGTTCCTGGACCTAAAACTAAGTGCTAGTCCCAGCCAGAGTTAATCAATTTTATCAATAGATAAATAGGAAGCCAACACTTACATACACCACATTGATTTAAGGATTTGCACATTTGGAACTAACAACTACATTTAGGACTCAGTTCCCCATCTTCTGAAATTAGGCTGTGTGATAAGAAGGGGAAAAGCTCTTTCATGGTGACATATCTTAGGAAAGGATTCCCGGAACAGATAATGTGTCCGATGTCTTTTTGAGAATCAAGTTAAAACATGTGGCATTTCTATGATTCAGTTCTTGTGGGTTTTTTCGGGCTATATGGCCATGTTCTAGAGGCATTTCTCCTGACGTTTCGCCTGCATCTATGGCAAGCATCCTCAGAGGTGAGGTCTGCTGGAACTGGGAAAAAAGGGGTTTATATATCTGTGGAATGACCAGGGTGAGACAAAGGGCTTTTGTAAGTTGGGCTAGGTGTGAATCTTTCAACTGACCACCTTGATTAGCATACAATGGGCTGACTGTGCCTGGAGCAAACTCTTCTTGAAAGGTGATTAGATGTCCCTGCCTGTTTTTCTCTCTGTTGTTTTGCTGTTGTAATTTTAAATTTTTTTAATACTGGTAGCCAGATTTTGTTCATTTTCATGGTTTCCTCCTTTCTGTTGAAATTGTCCACATGCTTGTGGATTTCAATGGCTTCTCTGTGTAGTCTGACATGGTGGTTGTTCAAATGGTCCAGCATTTCTGTGTTCTCAAATAATATGCTGTGTCCAGGTTGGTTCATCAGGTGCTCTGCTATGGCTGAATTCTCTGGTTGAAGTAGTCTGCAGTGCTTTTCATGTTCCTTGATTCGTGTTTGGGCATTACTGCATGACCGCATCTCTGTATACGACTTGTCCACAGCTGCATGGTATAATAGGTAGACTCCTGCAGAGGTGAGAGGATCCCTCTTGTCCTTTGCTGAACTTAGCATTTGTTGGATTTTCTTGGTGGGTCTGTAAGTGGTTTGTATGTTGTGTTTCCTCATCAGTTTCCCTATGCGGTCAGTGGTTCCCTTGATGTATGGCAGGAACACTTTTCCTCTGGGTGGATCTTCATCTTTACTCTCGTGGCTTGTTCTTGGTCTTGCAGCTCTTCTGATGTCTGAGGTGGAATATCCATTGGCCTGTAGAGCCCAGTTGAGGTGGTTCAGTTCATCTTGGAGGAGGTGGGGTTCACAGATTCTTTTTGCACGGTCTGCCAAGGCTTTAATGGTGCTTCTTTTTTTGACTTGGGTGATGGTTGGAGTTTTTATGTAGATATCTATCTGTGTGTGTGGGTTTTCTGTAAACGGTGTGACCCAATTGTTGATCTGGTTTTGACTAGGACATCTAGAAAAGGCAGTCTTCCTTCATTTTCTTTTTCCATGGTGAATTGGATGTTTGGGTGGATGCTGTTAAGATGTCCAGGAAGCTGTTTAGTTCTTCTCCATGATTCCAAATGGTGAAAGTGTCATCCACATATCTGAATCATATAGTGGTTTTTTTATTGCTGTTTCCAGGGCTTGTTTTTCAAAGTGTTCCATGTAGAAATCTACTATGACTGGGCTGAGAGGGACCCCCATAGCTACTCCATCTTTCTGTTCATATAATTCACTTTCCCACTGAAAGTAGCTTGTGGTGAGGCAATGGTGAAACAGCGCCATGATGTCTTCTGGGAACCTCTGGTTGATGAGTGCCATGGTGTCTGCAACTGGGACCATGGTAAATAGAGACACCACATCGAAGCTGATCAGTTTGTCATTTGTATTTAGCTTGAGATTGCTGATTTTTTCAATGAAGTGGGCTGAGTCCTTGATGTAGTGTGTTGTGAGCCCAATGTGGCTTTGTAACTGTGCAGCAAGAAATTTGGCTAAGTCATATGTGGGGGATCCAATGGCACTCACGATGGGTCTGAGTGGGGTGGAGTCCTTATGGATTTTTGGGAGTCCATAAAGCCTGGGTGGAAGGGCTTCCGATTTACATAGCTGCTGTTGTATGTCAAAGTTGATTGAGGAGTTCTTAATTAGAGTGTTGGTTTTTCTGGTTATTTTGGAAGTTGGGTCTTGCTTAAGTTTTCTGTATATAGTAGGGTCCAGGAGTTTTCTGATCTTCTCCTTGTATTGTTCTATATGCATGATTACTGTGGCATTCCCCTTGTCTGCTGGCAGAATGAGGATATCAGGATCTGAATTTAGGTCTCTAATGGAAATGTGACAGTGCTTTTTTCCTGTTTACACTTGCTTGGATATCATTGTTACTTTATATTTTTGACACATTTTACTTCATTTTTCTTAGGCTGATAAACTACCTTAAAATCTTATTTTAACATTAAAAGTAAGAGTTTGAATTGTTCAGACTAGCATTCCTCAACCGGGGACGCTACATCCTGGCTGGGGTAATAGGAGCTATAGACAAGCACGTCTAGTGATAAGAATGCATGCCATAGTTAGAGATCCTGAGTAAGGAACAAAGACACCAATGATTTAGAGCAGGAGTTCTCAAACTTTTTAGGCCACTGAGCCGTTTTTGAAACAAAAGTTTCTCATAGAGCTCCAAGGAATGTTTATATATTTGTAAATATATAAAGTGTGTGTGTGTGTGTGTGTGTGTGTGTGTGTGTGTGTGTGTGTGTCATGGGCAAGCTTTTTGATGCATTGCATTTTAAAATTTGACAGACGGGCCAGTGGCAGATGGATGGAGAGTGTGTAAACTAATTGAAAAAAAAAAGTAAATTCCTATGCATACTGCACATATCACGTTTGTAGTTCAAAAAAGAAAAAGAAAAGAAAGAACAATACAATATTTAAAATGAAGAATAATTTTAACCAACATAAACTTAACAGTATTTCAGTGGAAGACCCCAGGGGCCATCTAGTCAAACCTCCTTCTGCCATGCAGAAAAAG